GGGGGGGGGGGGGGTGTGGGGTGTGTGCTTTTGTTTTTGTTTTCCCCTCAAAGCAGGGCTCAGGGATGTTTCCCAGGAATGAGGTGTTCGTGTTACCACGCATCCCTCAGCAGGTGCAGAAGGGGGAAAAGACTTTTCCCTCAGAGTTTTAGTGAATTCTCCAATTTCAGCGTCTGGTCTGGTTTTATCTTTTAGTTTGTTCCACGTTTTGATAATATGATAAGGTAGAAACCAGAGTGATCTGAGGCTGGGGGGATAATCAGATCTGTTTCTGTGGGTCCGCCACAGTAATCTCCCCCCTGTAATACTGCTTCCATCTCTTGGGGTCCCCAACATAAGAAGGACATGGAGCAGCTGGAGGGAGTCCAGAGAAGCCCACAGAAATTCTCCAAGGGTTGCAGCACCTCTGCTCTGAAGCCAGACTGGGAGAGCTGGGGATGTTAAGCCTGAAGAGACTCTGAGGAGACTTTATATGAAACCCTATCACTGGAAGCATCCAAGGCCAGCTTGGGTGAGGCTGGGATAGTGGAAGGTGTCCCTGCTCATGGAAGGTGGTGGAACTGGATTATCCTTAAGGTCCCTTGCAGCCCAGACCATTCTGTGATTCTTTGCTGTTGGTCTCAGGATAGGAGAGGTAACATCAGGTTTGTATCCCGTTCCTAGACCATGCTGCCCACAGATGTGGTCTTTGTCAGGACTCCCTGGAGAAGCCCCCCTGGAGAAGTATCTGTGTATCGCTGATTTTGGCTGTGAGCTCATTCTGATGCCTGTCACCACATGAGGGTGCCAGTGCTGTTCACCTGCCACGGCTTCCTGCTCTAGCAAAAAAGTCCAGAGCGCAGATGGGTCTGTTCCCTGGGCTCGGGACAGTTTTGGGGTACATCCCGATCTCGGGGACCCTTGTGTGGATCCGTGCTGCTCCTGTGAGAGAGCATGGGGCGTTTGGTGTGTTGGGAGATGGGGAGAGATAGGCGATGTCCTGGCGGTATGCAGATAAGAGCCCCTCTGCTTCTCCAAACATCCCTCTGTGCACGCAGCTACACCAGAACTGTCTTCAAGGCAGGGAGAGGTGGTTTCCATTTCACTGAAACCTATCACCAAGGGTTTCAGTAGCCAAGTGCTTTCTGATACAGTTGGACCACTACAGCATGGCCTGCCTAGCTGTGAAATGGGGAGGTGGACCCTAAGCTCTTGAGCAAATACAGAATGTGTGGGGGTTTACGAAGAGCTGCTGCTCTCAGAGATTTGGATTTGTGTTTTCTTTGTCTTTTATTCAAACTGAAGTAAAAAAAAAAAAAAAAAGAAAGGAAAAAAAGAGACACTGTCTCTGGTAGGAAAAGTGAACATAAGGTCTGTCTGGATAAAGGGGAAACCCTTTTGTACAGTAGCTTAGTGTGTGGAGTATCCTCCCTGAGGAAAGGGGAAAGCTGGGCTTGATCCTTGTTTCTGCCGGAGGGGAGATGCAAACCTCAGGCCACATAAGACCCCAGAGAGCACAGTAAACAACAGGCTGCAAGCATGTCTGCTGTGGAGAGTTTTTCTTGCTCTTTCCTGTTATTTTAAATAATTAATGATTTGATGGAGCGGGGAGTGGAGAAGGCAGGTGTCCCGTCTCCCCGGAGAGCAGTCTGTGCACCCGGCAAGACAGAGTCTTGCTCTTTCTCGATGAATATTTAAGTGTCCTCAGACAAACTGGAACGGTGCCAGCAGGAATGGCTGAGAAGGGCTGAGCCCTTCCCACTGGGTATCCTAGTGCCTGGGGGCTGGTGAAACAACCCTGAATAGGGCAGGGAATAATCCCTGCTTGCATGGACTGCAGAGGTACTGTGCATCCCAGCCTTAGGTTGGACCTCTGGCTCTTGCTAGCCTTTTGTTATGCTGTGAAATTTCCTTGGATGGAAAGCTGTATGGATTTAACCTGCCACTGTTAATGTCATTGTCTTCCAGAGCTTGAATCAGCCAGGACTCATCACTCATGGCTCTCCTGTGGGTTAATGCTGTTCTCGGAGGAGGAATAGCGCAGATGCACTGAGAGTTCACATCTGTTTGTGAGCTTGGATGCTTCCAGCAGGCAGAAAAAAAGGCAATGTAGGCAGTTCCTTCTGTCCTTCCCAAAATGGTATGTGTTCAGGGGTGGAAGGGACCAAGACTTTCTGCTGATACTAAGTACAGAATGCTGCGACGATTTATTAACGACACTGAATATTCACCTAGCGATCCATTTATTAGCTAACAGACCTAAAAGAGCTCTTGGATTTTTCCACTGATGTTGTAGCATAAAGATTGACGGGGGAGGTGGTAATTTGAGTCCTTTTTGCAATATATTCCAGACATTGACCCCATCTTCTGAATGGTGTTAAAATCTTAGACTTTATTTCACTAGAAAAATAATTTTAGCTGAGCCAGCTTTGTGCTTTTTCTCACTTAGAAGTGAAGGTTTCTGTCAGAGAATTTTGTGCTCTTATTTTGTATGCACAATTTTTATGTACTGCTTTAGGATAATCATTATTTTCGATCACATTCAAAAATCATGAGGCAGGCTGCTTAAATTCATGTAATTTTAAAATGTGCCTCCGTTAGCTCCCTGGTTTAGTTGTATACACTGTGATTTTCAAGCCAGTCAGATTTGCAGTTATTCATGTAATACAGCCCACAAACCAGTATGTGTTTATGCAGAAACAGTTGCTTACCTAGAGGTTTAGCAAATTGGACTTTAATTTATAATCTTCCTTTGGAAGCAAAACTGGAAGGTGACTCCTCCTGCCTGCAGCTGCCTGTAGTTTGGGAAGCCAAGCTTCTTCTTCTCTGGAGCTGCCCACAGCAGGGGAGCCTGGCTTGAGGAACAGCCTCATCCTTGGAGGATTGTCTTTTTTGGCATATGCTGCCACAGACAGGAAATTGAATATTGCATGGGAGAGGGGATGACCATGTTCCTCTTTCAGTGCTGATGGACTGTTTTTACGTGACAGGGTGTTAAACAGCCCAGTGTGCTGAGATAACAACCATGGGCTCTGCCTGGCAGCACCTGAACCAGATCTTTGGGCACTGTGGTACACAGCTGCCATGGATGAAGAATTGTATGTCTGTGCTTTTTGACCCTGCTGTGGGTATTCAAAAGGGACCAACCATGCCAGTTCTGTGCTCTTTCAGATATGTCCCATTAGAATGGAATACACGTTACAGCTCTGGGTACATGGCTTCATGTGTGGCTCCAGCTTATTTATTTTTTGTCTGGGTTTGGCTTTTAGTTGTTCTGTAGACTAGGTTATTTTTGGTGCTTTCTTTGATAACTCCGTTCCTGTAACATGCTGCGGAGACAGAACCCCTCTGGGAGCATCCCAGAAATGCACACAAACATCAGCCCTGTAGCTTCTAACACTCAACATATGGAGCTTTCAGAAGGCCTGGACACCTAACGGGACTCCACAAACCCACTCTGGAAGCCTGAGAAGGGTTCCAGCAGTTTCCTCAAAGGCTGCATTCATTTCCTTGCAAGGCTTCCACAGAGGAACAGCTTGTTAGAGAGACCTGTGGAACTTGGAAGCTTTGCCAGTAATAATTCAAACCCAATTCTGAAGTCAAATATTTAGCTAAACAGAGACTGTCTGATTACTGGGTTAAACACAGGCTGCATCTGAGTGAGCTCAACATTTCAGGTTTTTGTCAGTGTCCATTTCACGAACCTGTAATTCCATTTTTCCTGTCTTCCCAGACTCAGCTCATGCTGTGTAGTGTTTCAGACAGCACAGAATGAAGTATTTCAGCAGAGCTGTTGCTCCTAGCTCAGGAAGCAGCCTGAATCACAAAGTGATGTTCTTTGCTTTAGGTTTAGGAATAATCCAGTATTATGGTATTGGGAGGAAATTATGTTAGAGAAACTAAAGCATTTGTTTGTTTGTTGGTAAGAAGTCTCAAGGAACCAGGCAGAGATGTCAGAGAGGGTTGGTGAGTGAGCCTTGCCAGTGTGCTACATGGTGCTGACACAGACAGCCCAGTCCATATTAAGAGCAACTGGAAGTTTGAGCTGGTGATTTGGCACTTCCTTCTCCTGTCACTCTCACTTCCCAAAGCCCATAGGCCTTTAAATCCCTTGTAAAGATAAATGATCTTAAGCTTCTATGTAGCTTTGAAAGCTTACATGTAATTAGCACAACAGGGGTTGTTCCTGACCATCAGGCCACTCCTGTTGATCCCTGACCTCCACATGGAGCTTACAGACATGAGTCCACTGCATCTTCCAACTTGATATATTCTCCTTTCAGCTGTGAAGAATTTGGCTCACATCTATCTTGCAGGAATACATGAGAGGCAAAAAAACACCTCCCCAGTATCTTTTGTATCTGAATGATACCTTAGAAATAACTGTCGGAGATAAAATTTGTTATTTCTGTGATGCTTGGCTGAGGGAGGTCTATATGAGCCCACTGTGTTCAGACTTTCTTAGTGCCTGAGTACCAGGTTTGACCAGTAGATGGGAGATTAGTGGTTTGACAGTCTGTGTCTCATGGTGGTGATCAGGTTGCAGTGGTCATTCTGTCTGTGCTTTGAACTGTTTGCCTTACTGGAATCATGGAACCTGGTCTTTCAAATCCAGGAATGTAACAGTAGTATGGTCTTAAAACATCTACTGTGTGACCAAAAACAAATGTAGCAGGAAAGGATCTAAAGGGAGAATATTCTTTCTTGAATTTAAGAAGAGAAATGTGATGGAGCTGGAGTCACTGCCGTCCCTGGTTTGAATGTGATGGTTAACTGAGGAAATGTTTGGTTATGGGTGGTGGGAACGGCTGCCTCCTATAAACCAAGCAATAATCAGGACACTGAATCCTAATCCCCTCACTGACATGCCTGCAGGCAATGTTTTTATTCTCACTTTACTGCATGTGTAAAAAGAGGGAAGGTCCTCTTCTTCCTGGGCCTCTGAGGATTGTCTGGCTCCTAAAGGCAATCTCTCCCTGTTGTTTTCAAGACAAAAGTGCAGCTGAAATGTAGGATCTTTTAACCATAAACCCAAAGTGCTGAAACCTACTTCCAGAGGCACAGCCCTGAGCTGCTCTTAAGCCACACTGAAGGACTCAGTGCAAAACTTGAAGTGAAACAGAAAATTGTGTTTGAGGATTTAATAAAAGCTAAGTGGAAGCAAAGGGTTGCTCAGTGATACCATCACTCCCTTCTAATTTGACCCCATGGAAAATCATGGAGTCCAACAGGAGCAGGCAAGCACAGTGCAGCTTTGGAAATGTTTCATTTCTGTCTCTCAGCAATTTTCTTCCAGAGCCCAAAACATCTGTCTCTGCCTCCAGCCACATGCAAGTGCACCGAGAGAATTTTGTTCCAAGCCTAATGAGTAATTTTATGGTCTTGGAATTGGAGGCAGGGGGAGGGGCCTGGGACAGCAGCTGGAGTCATGTGTTCTACAAGGATCTCTGCTGATGTCAAGTTGCAGCCTGATGATTTTTACTTTACTGCAGCCCACCAGGCTTCCCTTTAAAGTCCTCTGCTAGAGTTGTTGGTGATCAATGCAGGAATAGCTCTGACATGGGCTTCTGCATTCCCAGGGCTTCTTCACTGCGGGGCCCAACAAGCAGCATGGAAAATAATTACATCAGTGGAGAGGAGGTGGGGGAGCTCAGCTGGGCGTCAGCTCCACTCTGTGTGGAGAGAGCACACGTGAATGCAGAAAGCACACTTTGCCTATCCTGCCTCTGGCTTCAGAGCTCAGGAGGGATGAAGGAACCAACAACCCCAGGCAGATGTGTAATCACATCACTGAGGCATTGAGCAGATGGTGCTGAGATGTGGTGATACATGTGGTCTGAGAACAGGTATAGAATGAACTGATTAAAATTGTCACTGGTCTCAGCAGTCTTTTTAAAGCACAACCCCAGCTTTCTCTTTGAGAAGGACAGATTTATCTGTAGAGAGAGATAATCTGTACACAGCACAGGAAACAAAAGGCGGATGTTGTCCTATGTTTATGATATATTTCCACCACAGGGTCTTCCTTTGGGACAGGTTTGCAGGTCCTAGGCCCCAGAGCAGGACTTGCACATGGAGGGACCATGCTGTGTTTATCCAGGGCAGATTATGCAGAGCTCTTCCTCCACCTGTCCAACTTCTCTTGGTCTGAAAAGCAAGTTTATATTCACTCACAGTGACTCAGCCACAGAGTCTGACTCATTTTCTTGCTGTTACTCATAGAAAGGAAAAGCCAAATGGCAACCAGTCTGTGCCTGTAGCCACCTGTACTTCTCCAGTTTTCTGCTGTTATTCTCTGGATGAATTTCTGTTTATCGACACTAACACACTTATCCTGCTGAAGCTTTTAATACTTCTTTCTACAGAGAAAGACTGATTAGAAAATAAAATTTACTACCCCTAAAGCAAAGAGGAAGTGTGCTGAATCTCCATGGCTGCTTGTGGAGTTTGTGAAACGGGAAGATTTCAAGTGGACACTTCACAAAGGTAGCAACAGAATGAGACCAGATGGAGCAACCACCAGGCAGAACTGGGAGCAGCTGCAGGATTGCTGCAGCTCCTGAGCTGACCTCTGTGGTCTGGAGGAGGTTGCTGGTGGTCTATCTCTTAAAGGTGCTCAGTGCTAAGAGATCCTGCTTCCAGCAGCAATGATGTTACTGGTCACCAGAAATCTGTCTCACCCACTCTCTGAACTGGACTCCCCAGTGCAATGGAAAGACTTGAATTGCAAAGAAAAGGGATGGTGTTATACTCTGTGTAAGCCTCTGTTGCACTGTCAGCTCAGGGGTCTCTGCTCATTTCAAACCTGGCTGTTGCCCTCTTGCACATATTTTGTCCTCTCATCAGGGTGCAGGGAAACACCAGGCCCCAGTTCCTTCTCTTGCAGTGTGATAGGTGGCTTATTCTGTGCTAGAGACCACAGGAGCATGAGTCAGAGTTAAAAACCTCACCCAAGAGAAGCTTTAACTGTGAGGTGGGAATTGGTGCCTGCCACTACAGCTTTGCCAAACCCAGCTTTTCCCATTTCAGCTTCATTCCAGGTAAAAACTGCACAGGAGAGCACAGTGCAGAGCTCCAGGTGGGTGGGCTGTCCAGAGTACAAGGAGGTATCCTGGGTATGGAGCAGGGCTGTGTTAGAGC